GCTGCCACACCAGGACTGGCTGGCCAGGACTGTGACTTGGGCAGGGTGCCTGAGACCAGCGGGTAGACCATGTCAAGGCGGCGGCGGACGCGGCGCTTGCGCTGGGTCTGCCGATTGATCTGTCCCATGGTAGCAAAGTCGATGACGTAGCAGAAGCCAATGGCACTCAGGTCCACCCAGGGGTGCTGCTTCTCATAGGCGCGCTGGATGGTGATGCCCACATCCATGTCATAGGGCGTCCACGACCCGCTGTCATTCTCCCACTCCCACACGACTCCCTTGCCCGGCGCCGACGATGGGTCGTAGTAGCTGCGCCGGACAGGGCGAATAGTGCCTGAGGGAGGGTGAGAGACGCTGTCAGACCCTGGCGCTGGCACCCACCTTTGGGCAGGGAGCAAAACCACCCCAACCCGCCTCATCGGTGCCATCCGGCACAAGGACAGGACAGCTTTCCAGCTCAACTGTTGCCCCTGCCCTGCCAGGGGACTAGTCTGCCTTGGTTTCTCCAGGCCGCTGCCTGCAAGCCACCCTGCCACCAGTGCGCTCAAAGGGCCCAGGCCACACGGCACAGCACTGGGGTGCACCCCAGTGTGACTGTGGTGACAGGAGGGCAGATTTCACCCCATCGGGCTACAGCGGTGGCCACCCTCCAGCCCCAGTGTGCAGCCGCTCAACACTGATGGGGAAACACAGGAACACAAGCTTGGCCACTCCAGCCTGCTCCCAGGGACCTCCCACGGGAGCCTGGTGAGACCAGGCACATAGGCATCGGACTACTGCACTGCCCACCACAGCCCTATCTTCCTCTCAGCTCCGGACCAGGACAGAAGAATAAAATATTTAAGGGGCAGCTCTGAGCCCCGCAGCAGTGACATGCACAGGCACCCATGCGCACAGCAGAGTGGGGCTTGTGCCAGCCCCACCACCTGTAGGTGCCAAACCAACCCATGACAAAAACCTAGCGCATGGCACAGGGAGAATACCAGCAAGGCCAAGCAAAGGAGTTTGAGCGGGGCCCTGTGCCCAGCTCCTGCTCCCTTGTCAGCAAGCGTTAAGAGTGGGATGAGAACACAAAGCACGAAGGCTTTGCGGCTTGCATCCTCATTTTTGCTAGACGTTTCCTTTCCCGCCGCTCTCAGTCAACTAGGACACACTCAAAGCACAGACACAAATTGTGGAAACTCCTGCAATGAGGAGAAAGCTTTCCTCTTTGGGATGCTTCATGGCACAGCACGGCAGGCTGAACGTGGCCGGGCTCAGCCTCAGGGTCCCATCCTGAGCATGCTACTAGCACCCAGAGTTGTTTTGTTAATGGGTAGGATGAGCTCACGAGCACCACTGCCTTCACACTCTTCTGCAAAACCCCATGGCTCGGCCCTGTTAACAGCGGTAGGAAGAAGAAAGCTCAAAGAGAAGAAACAACAAACCTGCTTCTTCAGTTTTTCACCATGTGTCTTGCAAAGCCTGCAAGACTTTCAGTTCCTTTTCACCCCCATCTCTCCGCTGGGAGCAGCCACCACTGTCCATCCCCACACAGGACCACTTCCCACAAAAAAGTGGACTACAAAGGAAAAGCTGTTTATCAGCACTAATGACAGGTGCACATCGAGCACCCCACTATGGAGAATGGGGTGCAGCTGCACCCCAAGCAAGCTAGGCCACTCGTCTCCGTCCGGCGAATGGGCACTAAGGGGAGAAAAACCACCGGCACTGGCGGCACAAAGTGGGGCCGGAGGGGAGCAAGGTGGCAATTTATCCTAATCCGGTGCGAGGCAGGGAGGGCAGCAGCGGCGGCATGCGGCATCTGGCAGTCCCTGGGCGGTGGTGTGGGAACGGTGTGTGTCCCCCCAGCTCAGCACGGCCAGCCAGCCTCCCATTCAACAGGGGAAGAAAAGGGACAATAGCTATTCAGGGCCTGCCAGGGTCGTGACCCCCCAAATCAGAGCTGTTTAATGACCCAAAATACCAACATCCCCAGCAACCCAGGGAGAGACAGAACAATCCCCCTTTCAGGCCTCCTTCCCAGGCAACAATAGCACTCAGAGGCTGGCCCCCAGCCCTGAGTGCCCCCCAGCTGCAGAAATCCCTTGTCCCCACAACCCTGGGCAGGGGAGGGTCCCCGCCACCCCCCAGGGCTGCTGGGGGAAGGAGGCCAAAGGGTGTCCGGCATCACACTGCACCCAGCACCCCCGGTCTCAGGGGCAAGGGATGTTGGCTGGTCCCCTTCCCACAGCCATCACAGGGGTGGCTGGGGGGACACAAATCCCCTGTGACAATCTCTCCCCCAAGGGTGCCTGTCGGCCCACATTCCAGACATCCCCAAAGCCATACATGCCCCACCATCTTGGGAATCCCTCCACACTCCCACCACCCTGGGGACCCCCATGCCTGCTCGTTGCCCCCCACCCTCAAATACCCTCCTTTACCTGCCCATGCCACTACCCTGGGGACCCTCCAGCTGCCTGTGCCCTCTCTGAGCATACCCCCACCTGCTTGTGCCCTCACCCTGGGCACCACCATGGGCTGCCCTGACCCAGGGTAGGATTTGGCCTCCAAGCACCATACAGCACCAGGCCTTTGGAGTTGATGGCGGCTCAGAAGTAGCACAGAGGGAGCTGGGCGTGGTGGGCCAGGGCCTGGTGAAGGCTCTGCAGTGGACAGGCTCTGCACACAAAGGGACTGCGGGCCAGGAGAATAAAAGGTCATAGCATGCAACAGGGCCCAGGGAGGTGCAGCAGGGCCAGCCAGCGTGGGATACTGCAAGCACCTGGGGACCAGGCGGGATGGTGAAGTGCAAGCTGGCAGCAGGCAACCCCGGGCAGCGAGGACTTGGGCAGCAGCAGGCAGGGCTGGGCAACTCCAGGGCAAGCAGAGCAGAGCAGTGCAAGGCAAATCCAGATGCAGCATGGGACCAGGCTATGCAATCCAGGATCAGGCAGTATAATGCAGCACGGCACCCAGCACCACAGCACAGTACAACCAGCAACGCGATGGCAGAGCAGGTGATGGGACGTAGCACAGGGCAAGTCAGCACAACGCAATACGGGACTGGGAAAGGCAGCGCAGTACAACCCAGCTCCAGAGCAGGCAGTGCAGTGCAGTATGGGACCCAGCAGCACAGCATTGTGCAACACCATGCAACGCAATTCCACGTTAGGCAACGCTGTGCAGTACCAGACCTGGCAGCAAAGCACTGCACGGTGCAAATCTACACCAACCAGTGCAATGCAACAAGAGACCTGGAAACACAGAGCAAATCCAGATCAATCGTGTCAGGCAGGAAAGAACCTGACTGGGCAGGGCAGCACGGGGCTGGCACCACAAGCCCGTGCAATGCAGCGCGGTGAGGGACCGGGACAGGACAGCGCCCGATGGGACCCAGCAGCATGGTGCGGTGCAACGCAACTGCGGAGCAGGGAGCACAAAACAGTGCAAGACCAGGCAGGGCTGGGCAGCGCTGGAAGGCACAGCACGGTGCAACGCAACCCCAGAGCAGGCGCCACTGGGCAACGCCGGGCCGGGGAGCCTCGGGCAGCGAGGGACCGGG